TGGAATTACAAACTCCGCCCAACACGCTCAATCCCAACTCGTACCCGGAGCTCACATGGCTACGCCTGCACCATATTGGGATCATCGAATCCGTCCACCCATGGATCCTTTTACCCAATCTACGATATCTTTCCATCGAGAAACACGAAAAAGAAACGGATTTTGATTGGGAAATAGATTTAACTCTCGATCACGTCTTGAGCAGGAGCGGAGTTTGTAATTCCACGAATGATAGGGTTAGCCGCTCCACCGAGGACGGCAGATAGTGAAAATGGAACCGTTTCCATTCCATCACCTCGCAAGAGAACGCCTCGACTTCCAGGTCAATAATGGTGGAAGCGGAGATATAGTCGAGGATGGGGACGAAACCCGCACAAAAGACTTTCTCCAGAGTGGGAAAGAGCATAGGGTCCAAATGCCGTTCTAGAAAGACTGTTCCATCGGCCTCGTCTATATCTAGATACGTATTAGCTATAATGCATCTTGGAAATGGTGTAACAAGGATCTCTAACCGAAATCCAGATGCAGGCTTTTCAGGCGTGGTGCGATACTATCCTGTCCAATCGTCTCTATGATTGCATTAGGAAATGAGAATATTCGTAACTCTAAACCTTCTTCGACAGTGCGTGAAAGTAAACTCAGGGCACTCCGAAGTACCTGGTCCTTTTGAGCGATCTGTCCAAAGGCCAAGTTTTTGAGGATAGGGAAGGAAAGGCCATCGAGTGTTTGAACAAGATTTGAGTAATCGTCCTCAGTAGGGATGCCCAGACTAAGACTAGCGATATCGACCGAGTAATTAGCAATGATCTCCAACACCCTACATATTTCCTCCAACGGAATATAGTCAATATCCACCGTGATTGGGCCACCTTTTGATCTCTCTAGTAGGGCTATCATGTGTTCTAGTGTCGGTTTGACTGCTTTCTGTGAGTTGACGATTAGCGAAACAAGGAAGAGCGACGAGAAATGGAGGGATTGGAGGGATTAGTCGTACACTTGATGGTCGCGCAGTCTTGATTTGAATATGATTCCACATATTTTTTATCCTATTTATCACCTCTCTCCAGTAGTGGCATACATGACTAAGGTGGAAAGGGTTCATTCCGCCAGCGACTACTCTTTCCATGATGTTTCCTAGAACTTCTGGCGGTAAGCGGAGAGCCGGGGGATGGTTTTTGGCGGACATGGCGAATTTTTCTGAAATTAAGAGGTCTAGGGTGATTGTTAATGTTTGTTCAGAGTGTTTGGTTGAGGCGTTAAGAGTCCTTTGAAACGTACTCCTCCCTGCCTGAGGATTGATGTCACGAGTTGTCCGCGCCCATAGCACAGGGTAATCTTTAAGCCCTCCGAAGACTGAAACCAAGGAAGACTGCGCAAAGGGGGGATTCTGAGTCGCGATCCACCGAGAAAACTAACCGGATTGTGAAAGTGATTATCCCTACCCACCGCTCCAGTACCGCGGATGAAGCCATGACCATTTTTTCTTGTCTAGACGGGTGAAAATCCGCGTCGTTTGTCAACTCTTGTGGCATCCAGAGCCGGTTTTCTGGCTCCCTGACTGGTGGTACTCTGATAAACTGTACAAATATCAGAACGATATTCGGACAAGAAAATGCTCAATGATCCCTGGTTTCCAATCGAAAAGGTCTCCTTTATCTGCATCTGGACCACATATAAGGTTGCATGGGTTGGAACAGGTCGGTTGTTAAGTGGGTGGTACAAGGAGTATGCTCCAAGTCTGGACCATTTGACGACAGTAACATATATATTCGATCCTTTAGACTTCTTGGGAATCGCCTTTGGTGCAAAGTGAGTGTTTTAGAGGAGTTGCATATTTTTCATCTGTTTCTAGAGTTCTTACTGACAAATTTCTTGTAGGTCGTATGCACCTATTGCATGCAGATAGTGTACCTTCGTTGTATTAGCACTATGTCTGTGACCGAGATGCATCCCATGTTGGGGTTGGATAACAAGATTTGGGTTGACTAACGCACGCGCTGAGAGATGTACCATTCATTTCACTTGACCCAGTCCATGTCTTCTACGAGCAAACATCAACTTGATTGACTTGATAGTACTAAATCAAACCTTTTAGAGCGTTTAGAGACGTTCTAAGCTGAAATCGAGCTGGCAGGTCGAATGTCTTGAGGCAGGAACGGAGGAATTGCTCGGGATTTGTGCTAATTTTCACGTTGATCCTGTCCACTCCCGGGACATTTGGACAATGCAAATCCGTACAGATACCCAGCCTCTGATAGAACACCTCTAACACCTACCACCACCCTCTGTCCGTCAGAAATCTGGCGGTGCATGCTCCATCAGTGTCACAAGCCTCCCGAGGGTCTATAAAAGAGACAAGAACATTGGAGCTTTTCTTTTACTTTTAAACTCTTGTCTCCCTTAGTTTTGCGCGCGCCAACCCTAGGCGGCAAACATCTTGTTCTGCGCCCACCTCCCTATTTCTGAGCAACATGTCGCAAAGTCGGTTTCATCTACGTAAATTCCGTTGGGGTTCAAAGCGAGCAGGTATGTTCTCTTTGCATGGATACATAGTGTCGATTGGACTGACGAAGACCTACTCCAGGTGACAAAGACGCCACAGAGGACACACTTGACGTTGCTGAGAGAGGCCAGCAAAAGAAAAAACCAGAGAAACCGGTAGAAATGCTCGATCCTTCACATTGGAAGGACAAGCAGAAGCCATCGCCTCAGTACCAACTCCATTACGACATCCTTTGCTTGATTCTGGAGCATGCCTACTTCAACGACTCGTTTCTTCCCGACTTTCCACAGTTAGTAAAGTAAGTTGAAAATGCACCGGAACAACATTCCTCCTTATACTTACGAACTCGTTTGGCTCACTTCCTCAGGTATACGCTGGTAGCACGTGCTTGGAGGCGGCCCGCCCAAACCCTCCTCTTCCATGAAATCCCCGCCATGAAGGAGGGCAATTTCGAGCTCCTCCAATATCCCTTTGAGAAATCGCCAAATGCCCAATGGCTCCGGAGCCGCGTCCGCATCCTCAATTACACGATACACAAAACCTCCGGCCTATTCCCGAGTGGGATAGACTGGGAAGCGGGGCTCGCACCAACACTATGTTGGTTCCCGCAATTATACGAATTGCGGTTGGGCGTGGATAACACGCACAAACTCGATAGCAAGACGATCGCTGCCTTGCAGGACACGCCCTCTATTCATGCCCTCCAGATCGCGATGCGGATGGACAGGGCTGGAGGTAAACCTATTACTTCACAAGTACCTTATCAACTACTTGGTATTTCGGCGTGGAAACTCGAGTTCCTTGTCATCCGCGGTGACAAGTTTGATCTCAAAGCATTGAATCAATACCCGCCTGTGACCCATCAACTGGTCGAGTTTCGATGGACGGTACAAGGCTGTGACATGATTCTAGATGGGCCGGACGTCGAGAAGCTGATCACTTGGGTCACTAGCAATTCGATGCGGACCCTCGAGAACCTTTATTTGCCATCCGTTCACCCCATCGCCAGAAAGCTGGCCAATACCATTCGCTCATTGACCATCCCCACTCTGATGGAGTCGCCGAACGACTTTCGAAGTCTTCAAGAGCTCATTCTCACCGAGAAGACTGAAATGCCCACAGAATCCCAATACTATATCGCTCTACCGCCCAATTTAATGCATTTTGGGATGAAGGTGCACAGTGCAGCCGTCCATGGGAATACGGAAACTGTGGCATGGCATTTCAATCCCAAATTGAAGATATTTTCCATCTATCACGATTCTTGGACCGCTACAAAGACACGGCTCGAACAAAACTCGTGGAAGGCTGCGGGTGGTGCTGTACTCGTCAGAACATTTGGGGGTGAGCATTCGACTCAGATTGGAATGAGGTCAGACTTGGTCCAATCCCACGCATATCCTCGAGGAGTTACTATCGAGAATATGCACAAGGGAAGCCGTGTGGTCGGGTTGGATCACACCGAAGAACCGTCACCTCAGAATTCCAACCTGCTCTTTGACCTGGGCAATACGATCATAAAGCATCTTGGCGGCTCAATGGCTCCACGAGGAATGTAGCCAAAGAAACTTTCTGAACGAATGAAGATGTAACGAATCTTGCTCTGTCAGTTAACGGGGAAAGAGCTGGCTGGATTCGTTGGACCGGCTTGTCGTCTCCATTGTGATACGCAGGGCGGTATGCGAATACTTCGCACCATATCACTATTCCTTACCGTCCTCTTTAGAAGCTAGACTTTGTTGTTTGTGGCTCTACTGAGCACTGGCATGGACATCAACTCAAATTGCGCATGTAGTTTATTCTGGCTCATTTTAGTGCTCTCAATACGGGTATAAATCTATTCATTATGTCTATGACTAGTCGTAAATGTCACAAGTAGCCAGATTGACAATTGCAGTAGTCCCTCCGCTTGCCTGAGCTTTACTATACTTCCAAATTCAAGCCAAGGTTATTTCATCGACACACAATGTCAATTGGTTGTTTAAATAGGATCACAAACTACTGCGACCATATCCCCGATATCAGACCAAAGAAACGACACGAATAAGATACAAATCTACTACTCACAACGCTGCCCATGAAGCATAAAGTCAAACTGGTCCGCTACGGGCCCCATCTCGACATTAATTGTTAGGAGGGACCTTGGGTGAAACGCCATCCTTTCTTTGTTGACGCGGTCCCCCAGGCTTTTGACCGACCCTTGTCTTTGCTTCACTCTCTTCACTCTTCTTCTGCCATACATCAATCAGCTTCCGAGCAGGGTAGATCTGGATCGCCTCGTTCAGCTACTGGGACAATTTCGGATACCAATGAAGATATCCTGCTTGTCTCTCCACGGCCGCGGCCGACGCCTCACCACGCCATGGATCTCAATGCGGAAGCTTCATTGGCAAGGGCTAGGACACCACCTGCAAGGCGCTCAACGTCTCCTGAACAAGTCTATAGAGGAGTGGGGAAGCTGATTGATGTATGGCAGAAGAAGAGTGAAGAGAGTGAAGCAAAGACAAGGGTCGGTCAAAAGCCTGGGGGACCGCGTCAACAAAGAAAGGATGGCGTTTCACCCAAGGTCCCTCCTAACAATTAATGTCGAGATGGGGCCCGTAGCGGACCAGTTTGACTTTATGCTTCATGGGCAGCGTTGTGAGTAGTAGATTTGTATCTTATTCGTGTCGTTTCTTTGGTCTGATATCGGGGATATGGTCGCAGTAGTTTGTGATCCTATTTAAACAACCAATTGACATTGTGTGTCGATGAAATAACCTTGGCTTGAATTTGGAAGTATAGTAAAGCTCAGGCAAGCGGAGGGACTACTGCAATTGTCAATCTGGCTACTTGTGACATTTACGACTAGTCATAGACATAATGAATAGATTTATACCCGTATTGAGAGCACTAAAATGAGCCAGAATAAACTACATGCGCAATTTGAGTTGATGTCCATGCCAGTGCTCAGTAGAGCCACAAACAACAAAGTCTAGCTTCTAAAGAGGACGGTAAGGAATAGTGATATGGTGCGAAGTATTCGCATACCGCCCTGCGTATCACAATGGAGACGACAAGCCGGTCCAACGAATCCAGCCAGCTCTTTCCCCGTTAACTGACAGAGCAAGATTCGTTACATCTTCATTCGTTCAGAAAGTTTCTTTGGCTACATTCCTCGTGGAGCCATTGAGCCGCCAAGATGCTTTATGATCGTATTGCCCAGGTCAAAGAGCAGGTTGGAATTCTGAGGTGACGGTTCTTCGGTGTGATCCAACCCGACCACACGGCTTCCCTTGTGCATATTCTCGATAGTAACTCCTCGAGGATATGCGTGGGATTGGACCAAGTCTGACCTCATTCCAATCTGAGTCGAATGCTCACCCCCAAATGTTCTGACGAGTACAGCACCACCCGCAGCCTTCCACGAGTTTTGTTCGAGCCGTGTCTTTGTAGCGGTCCAAGAATCGTGATAGATGGAAAATATCTTCAATTTGGGATTGAAATGCCATGCCACAGTTTCCGTATTCCCATGGACGGCTGCACTGTGCACCTTCATCCCAAAATGCATTAAATTGGGCGGTAGAGCGATATAGTATTGGGATTCTGTGGGCATTTCAGTCTTCTCGGTGAGAATGAGCTCTTGAAGACTTCGAAAGTCGTTCGGCGACTCCATCAGAGTGGGGATGGTCAATGAGCGAATGGTATTGGCCAGCTTTCTGGCGATGGGGTGAACGGATGGCAAATAAAGGTTCTCGAGGGTCCGCATCGAATTGCTAGTGACCCAAGTGATCAGCTTCTCGACGTCCGGCCCATCTAGAATCATGTCACAGCCTTGTACCGTCCATCGAAACTCGACCAGTTGATGGGTCACAGGCGGGTATTGATTCAATGCTTTGAGATCAAACTTGTCACCGCGGATGACAAGGAACTCGAGTTTCCACGCCGAAATACCAAGTAGTTGATAAGGTACTTGTGAAGTAATAGGTTTACCTCCAGCCCTGTCCATCCGCATCGCGATCTGGAGGGCATGAATAGAGGGCGTGTCCTGCAAGGCAGCGATCGTCTTGCTATCGAGTTTGTGCGTGTTATCCACGCCCAACCGCAATTCGTATAATTGCGGGAACCAACATAGTGTTGGTGCGAGCCCCGCTTCCCAGTCTATCCCACTCGGGAATAGGCCGGAGGTTTTGTGTATCGTGTAATTGAGGATGCGGACGCGGCTCCGGAGCCATTGGGCATTTGGCGATTTCTCAAAGGGATATTGGAGGAGCTCGAAATTGCCCTCCTTCATGGCGGGGATTTCATGGAAGAGGAGGGTTTGGGCGGGCCGCCTCCAAGCACGTGCTACCAGCGTATACCTGAGGAAGTGAGCCAAACGAGTTCGTAAGTATAAGGAGGAATGTTGTTCCGGTGCATTTTCAACTTACTTTACTAACTGTGGAAAGTCGGGAAGAAACGAGTCGTTGAAGTAGGCATGCTCCAGAATCAAGCAAAGGATGTCGTAATGGAGTTGGTACTGAGGCGATGGCTTCTGCTTGTCCTTCCAATGTGAAGGATCGAGCATTTCTACCGGTTTCTCTGGTTTTTTCTTTTGCTGGCCTCTCTCAGCAACGTCAAGTGTGTCCTCTGTGGCGTCTTTGTCACCTGGAGTAGGTCTTCGTCAGTCCAATCGACACTATGTATCCATGCAAAGAGAACATACCTGCTCGCTTTGAACCCCAACGGAATTTACGTAGATGAAACCGACTTTGCGACATGTTGCTCAGAAATAGGGAGGTGGGCGCAGAACAAGATGTTTGCCGCCTAGGGTTGGCGCGCGCAAAACTAAGGGAGACAAGAGTTTAAAAGTAAAAGAAAAGCTCCAATGTTCTTGTCTCTTTTATAGACCCTCGGGAGGCTTGTGACACTGATGGAGCATGCACCGCCAGATTTCTGACGGACAGAGGGTGGTGGTAGGTGTTAGAGGTGTTCTATCAGAGGCTGGGTATCTGTACGGATTTGCATTGTCCAAATGTCCCGGGAGTGGACAGGATCAACGTGAAAATTAGCACAAATCCCGAGCAATTCCTCCGTTCCTGCCTCAAGACATTCGACCTGCCAGCTCGATTTCAGCTTAGAACGTCTCTAAACGCTCTAAAAGGTTTGATTTAGTACTATCAAGTCAATCAAGTTGATGTTTGCTCGTAGAAGACATGGACTGGGTCAAGTGAAATGAATGGTACATCTCTCAGCGCGTGCGTTAGTCAACCCAAATCTTGTTATCCAACCCCAACATGGGATGCATCTCGGTCACAGACATAGTGCTAATACAACGAAGGTACACTATCTGCATGCAATAGGTGCATACGACCTACAAGAAATTTGTCAGTAAGAACTCTAGAAACAGATGAAAAATATGCAACTCCTCTAAAACACTCACTTTGCACCAAAGGCGATTCCCAAGAAGTCTAAAGGATCGAATATATATGTTACTGTCGTCAAATGGTCCAGACTTGGAGCATACTCCTTGTACCACCCACTTAACAACCGACCTGTTCCAACCCATGCAACCTTATATGTGGTCCAGATGCAGATAAAGGAGACCTTTTCGATTGGAAACCAGGGATCATTGAGCATTTTCTTGTCCGAATATCGTTCTGATATTTGTACAGTTTATCAGAGTACCACCAGTCAGGGAGCCAGAAAACCGGCTCTGGATGCCACAAGAGTTGACAAACGACGCGGATTTTCACCCGTCTAGACAAGAAAAAATGGTCATGGCTTCATCCGCGGTACTGGAGCGGTGGGTAGGGATAATCACTTTCACAATCCGGTTAGTTTTCTCGGTGGATCGCGACTCAGAATCCCCCCTTTGCGCAGTCTTCCTTGGTTTCAGTCTTCGGAGGGCTTAAAGATTACCCTGTGCTATGGGCGCGGACAACTCGTGACATCAATCCTCAGGCAGGGAGGAGTACGTTTCAAAGGACTCTTAACGCCTCAACCAAACACTCTGAACAAACATTAACAATCACCCTAGACCTCTTAATTTCAGAAAAATTCGCCATGTCCGCCAAAAACCATCCCCCGGCTCTCCGCTTACCGCCAGAAGTTCTAGGAAACATCATGGAAAGAGTAGTCGCTGGCGGAATGAACCCTTTCCACCTTAGTCATGTATGCCACTACTGGAGAGAGGTGATAAATAGGATAAAAAATATGTGGAATCATATTCAAATCAAGACTGCGCGACCATCAAGTGTACGACTAATCCCTCCAATCCCTCCATTTCTCGTCGCTCTTCCTTGTTTCGCTAATCGTCAACTCACAGAAAGCAGTCAAACCGACACTAGAACACATGATAGCCCTACTAGAGAGATCAAAAGGTGGCCCAATCACGGTGGATATTGACTATATTCCGTTGGAGGAAATATGTAGGGTGTTGGAGATCATTGCTAATTACTCGGTCGATATCGCTAGTCTTAGTCTGGGCATCCCTACTGAGGACGATTACTCAAATCTTGTTCAAACACTCGATGGCCTTTCCTTCCCTATCCTCAAAAACTTGGCCTTTGGACAGATCGCTCAAAAGGACCAGGTACTTCGGAGTGCCCTGAGTTTACTTTCACGCACTGTCGAAGAAGGTTTAGAGTTACGAATATTCTCATTTCCTAATGCAATCATAGAGACGATTGGACAGGATAGTATCGCACCACGCCTGAAAAGCCTGCATCTGGATTTCGGTTAGAGATCCTTGTTACACCATTTCCAAGATGCATTATAGCTAATACGTATCTAGATATAGACGAGGCCGATGGAACAGTCTTTCTAGAACGGCATTTGGACCCTATGCTCTTTCCCACTCTGGAGAAAGTCTTTTGTGCGGGTTTCGTCCCCATCCTCGACTATATCTCCGCTTCCACCATTATTGACCTGGAAGTCGAGGCGTTCTCTTGCGAGGTGATGGAATGGAAACGGTTCCATTTTCACTATCTGCCGTCCTCGGTGGAGCGGCTAACCCTATCATTCGTGGAATTACAAACTCCGCTCCTGCTCAAGACGTGATCGAGAGTTAAATCTATTTCCCAATCAAAATCCGTTTCTTTTTCGTGTTTCTCGATGGAAAGATATCGTAGATTGGGTAAAAGGATCCATGGGTGGACGGATTCGATGATCCCAATATGGTGCAGGCGTAGCCATGTGAGCTCCGGGTACGAGTTGGGATTGAGCGTGTTGGGCGGAGTTTGTAATTCCA